CATTTTTGGCTTGCTGCAGCCGTTCGTCCCTTTAAGAGAGATGGGGATCTCGAGCTTGATAGCTGGCTTGTGCGGCCTCCATTTTGACAGCCACGAACATGCTTCACGCTGCTCAAGTGGCACTCGGGCTCTCTGTCCGTGCTTGTCTACCTCTTGTGGTGGGGCCCGCATGCACAAACACGTGCACATCATTTTAAAATTCTTTTTTAGTCCTTTGTGTACACATGTGTTGAGGAGCAAAAATGGGCTTCCTTGCCCAAGTATTGTCTAGAGTGATACCCGCTCTCAAACTACATGTTGATCACTATTTTAATAACCTTTTTTTTACACCTATTAAAAATAAGGAGGTCCCAAAATAATTCAAAATAGGATGGCATCAGGGGCTGTCAGTGGCTGTCAAAATGAGGACCGTGAAAGCCAGCTGTCAAATTGGACTTTGTGATCCCTGGAAAAAAGGGTACCAGAACAAGTTGCGGTAGTAGTTGTTGTAATACATTTATATCTCACCTGTCTTCCTCTCGCAAGGAACACAAGGCAGCTTCCAAGTTTCTCGTCCTCTGGATTTTATCCTCATAGCAACAAAGCTGTGAGATAAGTTAGGCTGAGAGGCAGTGACCAGTCCAGAGTCATCCAGTGAGCTTCATAGTCACGTGGGGACTAGAACCCAAATCTGCCAAGTCTCCGTCTAGCACACCAACCACAAAGCCGCACTGGCTCATCATTGCAGTGGGGAGCACTGCAAGTCAGTGCTAAGCATGTGCAGATGCCATTTGGGCATTTGTGGGCTGGCTGGCAGCAGTGGGTGTCTGCTAAGAGCCCCAGGGATTTTTGGACTCTATTGCCAGATGGCCTGCAAGCCAGTTTCTAGTAGCCGTATTAGGTGTGTAAGCCAGTTCTGGATGATTCAAGAACCCATTGTGGGAACAAAACCCCTCGAGCAAACCATGGGTTGTTGGGGTGGCTTGTTGGCCTGAAAGAAGCCACCCTGCTGAAATCAAGTTTGTATTGAAACCAAGTTTGTACAACCCATCATGTGCAACAATTTACAATGGGTTATTATTTCATGCCTACCCATCCACAGTGCTCCTTACTAAGGTAAATGATTGCATTTCTATATAAATGCTTATTTCATTATTTCCAAATTTCCACCTGCACACACAAATGAGTATATGGAAATTATATGTAAATCTGTGACCTCTTTTGCCACTCTTTCCCTTTCTTTTTGGTGACAAAGTTCCTCTATTTTTAGTGATGTCTAACAGCTTCCTTTAAAAGAGAAGCTGAGAAATAGGGTTGTATATGATTATAGCCTAACTTAAATGCTATTCATTTCAATGGGTCTACTCTAAGCGGAACTCACATTCGATAGATCACATGGTAACTGAGTGAGCCAGCCACCATCAGGAATGTGCAAGCCCTGCTTGGGATTTGTTGCGTTGTCGTGCCATCTCAGCCCAGGTAGCTGGAGTTAAATGAGGGTTCACACACCCCTGCAGAGCCCTGAGGCAGACCGTGTGTTGCAAAGGTTGTTTTACCATCAATATCTCCCCTCTCCTGGCTCAGATACCACAACAAGTAATGGCAATTCCCGTCTAGTGCTTGTGGATTTTTTACAATGGTGGATGGCCTGTGCCAAGTGGGTGGTCACGTCATCTGAGCCACATCAATAGGAAACAGGCTCTTTTATTCATCGACATCATCATCAATTCGATTTCTGTACTGCCCATTGCCAAAGCTCTCTGGGCAGTTCACAGCATTAAGTCCCCCATCCAGATTTCAACCCTGCTTAGCTTCCAAGATTAGGCAAGATCAGGCAGTTCAGGCTATATGAAAGCTTTTCCCTTTAGCAGCACACTCAGCAGGGGCAGCAGACAATGACACAAGGTGGCGTAGTCATGAGAAATTGCTCCTGCTGCTTCTTTCCTGTGTAGTCATTATCAGCCGATACTAACTGCGGGGTGGAATACCAAAAGCCCATGCAGGAGTCAATCCTCAGTCCTGACTCGGGATGGGAATGGCTATGATAATCACAAGCAAAAGGCCCTCTGCACATGCTCAGGGTCACTTTCCCTCTTATTGCTAATTCACATGCCGTCCATGGCTTTGCAGGAAATGCCCTGCTTCGTGTCTCCCCACAAATGAGAGCTTGGGCACGGGCAGCAGACGCTCTAGTCTGGAACCAGCTGCTGTGAGAGCTGTGAGTAGCCACCGCTGTGGATATATTTAAACATAATGGAAGACTGTCCTGTTTGTGCTAACATTTGGCTCCTGATGTGTTTGTTTCTATGCCTCTCTGGTGTATTATTCTTGTCAGGTTTGTGTTATTGCAATAGTAAGATTTGTTGTTGTTGTTTTGCTGAGATTTGTATTATATTTCAGTTGCTCTGCGCTCTCAATTTGGAGGAAGGACAAAATATAAGAACTGTGAATGACTGGATGAAAAAAAATAATTGGGTTTCATCCCAGAGTGGAAAACTCAGATCTCTGTCTGAGTCTTGATAAGCCCTTGTGTGAATTGAGCTCTGTTTCCTCACCACTCAGTGACTAACCACACTGGAAGGAGACAGCATGAGCTGCACTGTTCTTTTCTTTGGCGCTTTCCCTCATTCGGGTTCTGCTCTCCCCCTGCCCCGCCGGGGCCACTTGTGGGTGCATCTTGCATTGCACCTGCGTTAAAAAAGTGGCGTTGTACCAGGAACCAGAGGTCACCTTTGAGGATCCTTCTTCAGGAGCCCATTCCAAAGGAAGCGAGGCAGGTGGCTACGTTTTGGCTGTGGCACCCTAGCTTTGGAATGAGCTCTCCAGGGATGCATGCCTTGGTGCCTACTTTGTATTCTTTTTGGAACCAGCTAAAGATCCTTTGTTCTTTCCCAGTATTTTACTAGTTTAACTTTTAAAATGTGTTTCCGTATGTTCCATTTTATTCTGCACCACTGCCATGCTTCTATGCAGAATCATCACAACTGCAATTGCCCTTCTAGTTTATTTGTTTTTCCATTCTTTTAAATTAATGTGTGAGTCTTTTAAATGTTTGTTTACATTTAACTGCCCACAGTACCTTGACTATGGGGTGATATAAAAAATTAAAAACATAGAAAGAAGATGATAGACGAATAAAATGGCTTGTTCTCTCTCATGTTGTATGGAATCTGGCAAGAGGTCATCAGCAGTGGCGCTCCTTTGACAATTGCTGCTGGATAGCGTTCTCCACATGACCCTGTCTGTGCCAGCTGAATCTTTCACTGGAGGCCTGCTCTTCCACACCCCATCTCCAGAACTTAGATCAGCACTCCCCAACTCACTGCCTTTCACACGTGTTGGTCTGCAACCCCATAACCCCAGCAGTCCTCCAGATATTTTTAACTCCGACTCCCATCTACCCGTCAGCATGGCCAGTGGAAGGCATGCTGGGAATTGTAGTTCAAACCATCTGGAGAGCCCCAGGGTGGGGAAAAATGCCTGTCCCAGCTGTAGGTAAACCCTACATGGAAAAAGTAGAGCGTCACAGGGAACAAACGGCCTGCTGTTTTGCAGAGGTATCTGTTCGTTCATTCCCTGGAAGTGGATGCTGCCCAGAATCCCGGTGGGGCAGAGTGGCTGACTTCTGCGACTGGTACGAAGGTGCAAATCTGCAGCTGCTGGTTTTTGCAGCTGTTCAAAGGCACGCGAACAGGCCAAGCAGGGAGTTTTTCCGCTTAGCTGGCAACCCCTGGTTGATTTTTTTCCTGCTGCGGTGGTCTGCCAGATCTGTTCCGTGTGCTCTGCCAGGTGAGTGAACTGATATTCAACTGTCACAAACACAGCTTAGTATGATTTAAAAAGACTTTGGGCATCATAGTTTCACCTGTGACATGTTGCCGCCACTGTTGTTTTAAAGCACCACATGGCCTGAAAGAAACAAAGCATGCATCTGTCAGCGTGACTGAGGACAGAGATGCCTGCTTTCTTGGCTAAATTAGAGCAGTCTTTCCTGGCCTGGCCCTGCTGAACTACAGCTGCTATCATCCTCCACCAGCACAACCTCACCATGCTGGCTCGGCACTATGAAAGCTGCCATTCAGCACATGTGGAGGGTGACAGGTTGGGGCAGGCTGCTCTCGAGAAACTGCTCGCTTACTGAGCGCTCTTGTTACCGGATCTGAGCCAACAGCAGTTTGCGACAAAGGGGGTTGTTGAAATTCTCTGGCAGGCCCCTGGAAAGCAGATGACATGAGATGAAGTGATTGTGTTTCAGGTTTAGTTTGATCCGGAAAAGATGGTGCCTTGCCTTGCCTTTCCTGGAGCAGGATTAGACTGATTTTGAAGGATTTTGTTTAATGAAGATTCAAGCTCTGTGGATACATTAAAGAAGCGAATTTCATGTCCTGTGGGGAGGAAAGCACTATAATTTGCACTCCTGTGTTCTCCCGCTTCTTCAAATGGTGAGAGGTTCCAGGAGAATTGACTTTGTTCCATTTCTTGGCAAGCAGAAAGAAATTGCCAAAAGGCAACCGATGTCTTTTAAAATACGGCATGTAGATAGATTGCACATGGGTGGTGGTGTAGGTTAAACACTTCAGCAGTCAGATCCAGTTCCCTGCATTAGATCTCCAGAAAAACAGGAAAGCACCTTCATGCATCATGCAAAGCCCAAGGAACAGAGCTTTGTCTCTTTCTTCTTCAATTTCATCTTGAAGACACATGCCCCCAAATGCACATTTTTTCAGTTCAGAAAGGGAAAAAAGCCCCTGCACAGGCACAAGGTGAACTGAACCCAGATGTGAAAACGGCAGACTCGTGCTGAGTTCCCATCTTGCTGGTTCCTCCATCTCTGGTACCCTCGTGTGCCACCTTCTAGTAAGATTTCCTCTTCTGGAAGTATTCCTGTTTGAGTGGGCCAAAGAACCAGGGCAAAAGAAAGTCTCCAGCCCTGTTGACCCTGGTACGCCACCCCTAAATGGCAAACTAAACATTCATGAAAGATGAATGACTTAGGAAATTAGTACCTTCTTATGTTTCAGAGCATGGAACTGCACCAGCACCCTTGCGCTGACAGACAAAAGTATGCTGATATGCTAGATACTTCATCTCCACCTCCTTATCCTGGAAATTGCTTATGCAGTCTGGAGCTCAAACTGCCTTGTGAAATACAGCCAGGATGCCTAGATGTGAAAAGCCAGCTGCCTCACCAAGAACTGGTAATGACCATTCTGATTATGCATCTTATTCCTGCATTCCTTGGGCACATGCTTCTAGTGTTCTAGCAGGTATACGGGAACGGTTTTTGGCACCAGTGCTCTGTTTGCTACCGTTGTGTTTCTTCCTTTAATTTTGGCAGTCTAACTAATTGGTAAATCAAACCTCTCCTCCAGTGTTTTCTGTTTTGGACTACAGCTGAGTGAGAGGAGAAGAAGAAAATAGAATTTCAGATCAATCATGGAATCTCAGTTCAGATAAATTATCCACTTTTCCATGTAACATAATTAAACTGACAGTCATGTGGAGAAATTAGCAGTTCTTCCATGCTATCGCTTCTGCTACCAAAAACCTGTGGTGCAAGTCTTGTTTCCAAAGATTTTCACTTCACAGTGTTGAAAAGCTATTATTCTCACATTTGGGAAATGACCTTCTTCTCTACAATTTTTTGAACATATTTCTTGAGATTATTTGGACATGCCAATGACATCTAAAATAAATGAGTTAGAGATGTGGTACAAATTCATTTTAATCTGAAAGTCTTCTGGTTTTATATAACCTCAGACTCATTTTTCTAAGAATATGTTCATGAAATTCTCTCTACTCGGCACCAGAAACTTGCAGTCTATGAAAAAGAAATTGCAAAATGTTGATTTAAATTTCCCATGGAACTAGTAGGAACTTTTTATTACTGTTGTTACATTGCTATAGCTGGTGCTATGGAATTAATTTCAAAAATAAATTTCAAACCTGGTTTTGAATTCCCAGTATGGTGCTGTACCATGTATTAATTCTGGAGCTGTACACATGCAAAAGATTTATCTGTAATTTAAGGACCAGGAAATCCTTATGATTCCATATATTGTGATACTGGATTTTGATGCAAAATCGGGTTCTTTATTTATTGTTATCATTCAGTGTTTCCCAACCTGCTGCCCTTCATATGTTTTAGAATAAAATCCCCATCATTCCTTGTCAGAAGAAAAATGGCACTTGAAATTCCCCACATTTTGAGGGTACCTGGTTAAGGAAGGATAGTATGAATCAACATAAAATTCTGCTTTAAAAGGGCCAAATCAGTCTAGTCATTTGATCCAGTTCTAATTAGGCATTTTTGAACTCTATGGAGATGTACAAATTTGTATTGTTCCCTTTCTATCTTAGTATTGGACTGTTCAGTGTTAGATATATCTAAGATAGGATCTGGCCCTGACCAAATAGTATATAGGACATCATCAATATCGGTTCAAGGGAAAACACATGTAGCTCCTTCTCGGTTTCTGCCACGTTTCCCCGACAGCTGCACTGAGGCAACTCCAGGTGTGAGGGGACTCTTGTCAACTTGGTAGACCCCTTCCTGTATCAGAACCACCATTTCAACTTCCCACAATACCACTTATGTAGCAGCACTCTGGGAAATGTTGGGAAATTAAATGGTGGCCCCTGACAGACAGGGGGAGACAGGGGGTTTCTGCCCCCCCCCCCCGCAGCTGTTCCAGGAGACTTCCTTGCTGATGCCAATCCTGAGCTGCCTCCTGGCCAGCCACATGGGTCGCTTTGCTCTCAGTATGGTCCTTGAGAGGAGAATGTTGCTACAACAGGCGGTGGAAGACTCAGCAGGCTAAGTCAACCATTCCTCACACCAAGGCTTCCACCTGGAGGCAGGGAGCAGAAGGTGCTGAGGGCCAGAACTCCATGCGCACCCTTCCTGGGGCACCTTCAGCTACTGTAACTTCCTCCCTCTGGTGCAGCGGAGATTGCTTGCAGCAGCTGTAAGATTCAATCGCTCTGTAATAAGAATTGGGGGCAGGGTCACCATCAAATGCCCTCATGGAAAACAACATGCTTTACATAACAATAAAACAGATGATTTAGCCCAATATTGTACAGCTATGAGTTCTGTTTCAGAAGGCTGAGAGCTACTCATGTGCAAAGCAGGTAGTACTGATTTGGACTAGAAGAAACAGGGGTCACCTCTGTGTAAGGGAGTTTGAGATCAGAATATTTACCTGGGAAGGATCTTGAACCTGCTTGCCCACAGCCGGACCTTGTCCAAGGCCAGACTGGACCAATGCACCGATCACTTTGTGCTGGGGTTTCACTGTATTCAGCATCTTCTCACCAACCAGACAAGAGGTTATGGCTGGGTTTTCTCATGTGTCAGGAAGAAAGAAGATCAGGCATTTTGAGGTAACTTTTAAAAAATGGAGGTATGTGATGAAGTTGTTCACCATACAACAGGTTCTAGGCATTCTCAGGCCAATGTCTAAGCATCACCAGCCAGCCCATGAATATGTGGCTGATAAACAAACCTCTTACCCTTGCCAGTTATCCAATAAAGTGTCCAAGTTGTAATATGGATAGTCACCTCCTACCTTACAGCTGGTCTGAGCAGGTGGCTGATAATATGCTCTTCCTTTCCTTCATGCTGCTTACTCAGGATGCTGGGTACTGAATGAAGCTGGTCAAGGGTAAGTGAGGGATTCAGGGTCAGTTGATTGAAGGAAACTCCTGAAGAGGTCATCGCAAATGCTCCCTTGCTTTCTTCCAATGGGAAGATTTTTGGATGTAGGACTGGGAGAGTTGGATTACAGTTCTAATACAGCCATGGATGCACTGGATTGTAGAGCTAGTCCTGGCTTCAGTTCCTCCACCTAAGAAGCAGGAACACCAGTTCCTGGGCTTGTAGATGAGATCACATGTGGACCTAACCCTAATCCCTCAAACGACAGCTTTCTGGTACGAGATGAAATGGAGTATCAACCTGGTTCTGTCAAAATAAGTTTCTCCTTCAACCACTTTATACGAGGCTTTGTTGTTGTTAGTCGTGAAGTCATGTCCGACCCATTGCGACCCCATGGACAACATTCCTCCAGGCCTTCCTGTCCTCCACCATCCCCTGGAGTCCAGCTAAGCTCACGCCGACCGCTTCAGTGACTCCATCTGTCTGTCTGTCTGTCTGTCTGTCTATCTATCTATCTATAAAATTTGTATCTAGCCACCTCATTCTCTCCGTCCCCTTCTTCTTTTAATCTATTGTTCCCAGCATCAGGATCTTCTCCAAGGAGTCCTTCTTTCTCATTAGGTGGCCAAAGTCTTTGAGTTTCATCTTCAGTATGTGGCCTTCTAAAGAGCAGTCAGGGTTGATCTCCTCTAGGACTGACTGGTTTGATTGCCTTGCAGTCTAAGGGACTCACAGGAGTCTTCTTCAGCACCACAATTCAAAGGCCTCAATTTTTCGGCACTCAGCCTTCCTTATGGTCCAACTTTCACAGCCATACGTTGCAACTGGGAAAACCATATCCTTGAGCATACGCATTTTTGTTGGCAGGGTGATGTCTCTGCTTTTTAGTATGCTGTCTAGATTTGCCATAGCTTACCTTTCCAGGAGCAAGCGTCTTTTAATTTCTTGGCTGCAGTCCCCAACTGCGGTGATCTTGGAGCCCAGGAAAATAAAATATGTCACTACCTCCATTTCTTCCCCATCTATTTGCCAGGAAGTGAGAGGACCGGATGCCATGATCTTAGTTTTCTTAATGTTGAGTTTCAAGCCAACTTTTGCACTCTCCTCCTTCACCCACAGCAAGAGGCTCTTTAGTTCCTCTTCACTTTCTGCCATGAGAGTGGTATCATCTGCAAATCTGAGGTTGCTGATATTTCTCCCGGCAATCTTAATTCCAGCTTGTGATTCATCTAGCCCCGCCTTTCTCATGACGGCAATCTTGATTCCAACTTGTGATTCATCTAGCCCTGCCTTTCTCATGATGTGCTCTGCATATAAGTTAAATAGGCAGGGCAACAGTATACAGCCTTGCCGAACTCCTTTCTCAGTTTTGAACCAATCAGTGGTTCCGTGTCCAGTTCTCACTGTTGCTTCTTGACCCACATATAGGTTTCTCAAGAGACAAATAAGATGGTCTGGTACTCCCATCTCTTTAAGAACTTGCCACAATTGGTTGTGATCCACACAATCAAAGGCTTTAGCATAGTCAATGAAGCAGAAGTAGATGTTTTTCTGGATCTCCCTAGCTTTCTCCATGATCCAGTGTATGTTGGCAATTTGTTCTCTAGTTCCTCTGCCTCTTCGAAACCCTGCCTGTACTTCTAGTAGTTCTCAGTCCACATAAATGCTGGAACCTAGCTTGTAGGATTTTGAGCATAACTTTGCTAGCATGTGAAATGAGTGCAATGGTGCAGCAGTTTGAACGTTCTTTGTCATTGCCCTTCTTTGGAACTGGAATGTAAACTGACCTTTTCCAATCCTGTGGCCACTGTTGAGTTTTCCAAATTTGCTGGCATATTGAGTGTAGCACTTTTACTGCATCGTCTTTTAAGATTTTGAATACCTCAGCTGAAATACTGTCACTTCCACTAGCTTTGTTGTTGCTCAGACTTCCTAAGACCCATTTGATTTCACATTCCAGGATGTGTGGCTCAAGGTCAGTGACCACCCCATCATGGTTATCAGGGACGTTAAGCTCTTTCTTGTATAGTTCTTCTGTGTAATCTTGCCACCTCTTCCTAATCCTCTCTGCCATTTTGGTCCTTTATCATGCCCATCTTTGCATGAAACATTCCCTTCATATCTTCAGTTTTCTTGAATAGATCTCTGGTCCTCCCTATTCTATTGTTTTCTTCTATTTCTTTGCACTGTTCATTTAAGAATGCATTCTTATCTCTTCTAGCTATTCTCTGGAATTCTGCATTCAGTTGGATGTATCTTTCTCTTTCTCCCTTGCCTTTCACTTCCCTTCTTTCCTCAGCTATTTGTGAAGCTTCCTCAGACAGCCATTTTGCTTTCTTGCATTTCTTTTTTTTTTTTTTGGGACGGCTTTAGTTGCTACCTCTTGTACAATGTTGCGAACCTCCGTCCATAGTTCTTCAGACACTCTGTCTATCAGATCTAATTCCTTAAATCTATTTGTCACCTCTACTGTATATTCATCAGGGATATGATTTAGGTCATACCTGAGTGGCCTAGTGCTTTTCCCTACTTTCTTCA